TCTCTCTACTTCTTCTTCTCTCTCTCTCTCTCTCTCTCTCTCTCTCTCTCTCTCTCTCTCTCTTTCGTTTTGTTCCTTTTCGCCCTCGCCACGATTTTAATCGAGCCGCGTTACGAGCGAATCGAAAGATCAATCGGCATTGATCTCCTCGAGGATTTATGGTCTCCTCGACTCGTTATTACCATTCACGAAGTATAATAACCCGCGAAACAAACGACGCTGTACGCTGCTTTACAGTCACGCATCACCGTGATAGCTCATCCTCATTTAATCGCTCCTCCCGGTTTATTCGCTCGCTCCTCTCCTCTCTGTCTTGCACGCAAGAATTTCTGACGCGAAGACTCTGTCAATTTTTCAAATTCCAATGCCACCGAAAGAGGAACACTTTTCACGTATTACGTAAGATTCAATTAATGCCGCGCGTTATCACTCTCTGAATGATCGTTTAACACACTACAGCTACTCTTCACTGTTTCAAATTACCGTTCGTGAAATACTAACGCTTGACAGAAGGACGACTGGAAAGAGACAAACGGATATGTTGATCCAATCTACTCTAATTATTGCTAGGAAGGTAGGCATAATAATAGCACCGTCTCAGACTCAAAGTTGCGCCACAAGCTTCATAGAGGAACGAGGGAGGAGAGAGAAAGAGAGAGAGAGGGTGAGAGAGAGAGAAAGAGAGAGAAAAAGAATGAAAAGAACAGAAGCACTGACGCATCACTGGCGGGAGTTGATTGATGGACGAGTCGCCATGTTTATAATTAGAGTCCCGACGTTTCCGGTTCACTGTCTAACGCTCGGGCCGCGATTCACCACGGATCAATCTCCTTTCTGAGATTGTGAAAAAAGATTCGGCATCGCGCGAAATAGCGCCAGAACGCGAAGAGTGATCGCCGCGCTAATTACGATCTTGTCGAATTTCGTTCGGTTGAAAAATGTGCGAAACGACCATCTCGCGAAAGCGCGCGAAAGCACGCGAGAAAACTCGCGATTTCACGGGCGTCGTTACGCTTCGTCCGTCGATTCTAATTTCGGTGCTTTCGGTGCCAAGCAGATGCAACGTGTTATCGAACCTTTTAACTACGTGAACGTTTACAACGTGGTCGGACGTACCGGCTCTACGAAAATCCACGTGTGCAGGAAACGAGATGCGGGTCGCCGCGTCACGGCGGTCACACGTGTACTTCTCAACGGTCGACAGGCTCAAACGGCGAATCTAAACAAATTTGCGAAATGTGTCTCTTTTGAGGGAAGTCAGTTGATCGTCGCTCAATTTGCGGCGTCGTCTTCGAAAGGCCGCCTTGTAATCGGAGTCCGAGCACCTCGGCATATTTTTCTAAAGACAAGGCAGAGGGAATAGCGCGTGACGGTGACAAGGCGTATGACGGAGAGATGCACGAGTTAAATATAAATTATGGATATACGAACGTAAGTAGAGCGCGCATCTTCTAACTTTTCAGCGTGCAAAACAGTCGCGGTAACATTCTCGCCTCCGTAAAGTTGGCGAGGGAATCTCGTAGGCGGAATGGCTCGCCGAGAAAATTCTTATTAGCGAACGAGTCGTCCTTGTGCGTGTCAGGGGGAATGATCAATATTTGTAATATAGACTTCATTATAATACCTCATCGCTGCCCGTACAAATCTTACGGCAAATATATATTATTTTCACTTCCTATCGATTTATCAAACAGTCGTGTCGATTTATCTATTTACTCTGTTTGTTAACTCACCTCTCTGTTGCATAAAACTGAAGAGCTGGTCGAGAAAGTCCTTCCGCCTGGGATTATTATCGAGTTCGTACAACTGAAACAAAAATTAAGAAAGAAAGGTTAATAGATTGTATAAGAATAATCATAATTTGTGTAGAACAATTGTGCATTTCCATATACAACGTTTCACCATCACCGCATTAGCGCTTAATAATATACACATATATGATGTACGTCTTCTCTCAATGTGTATATAATGACGGGTGCGTATCTATTCCGTGCAATATTATGACTCAAGACTGTATTACAATCGAAATGCATACATTGAGAATCACTTTGTCAGTTCAATTAATGTTTAATCAATGTAATTAGATTAAAAATATACAAAATTAAAAGGAATCAAATTTTTATACAATCGTTCAATACTTTCATCCGCGCCTTCCTCGCTCCTTCCTCGATCGGGAGAATAAAACGTTACCTCGCGGCGTGGTAATAAAAACAGGAGTGAAACAAGTGTGCTCATAGCGACAGGCAGATTAGTTAGCTCCGATTATTAATGATTCCGTTTAACCTGCCTCATAACCCGAAACCCTCGGCCGACCGTACGAAAGCCAAACCCCCTTCGGGCTAGCGGCCAGTATTATCATATTTGTTATGTACGATGTGCTATATCTAATCTGAGACCTCCTAATTGCTTTTATAATATGAGCCCCATCCACCCGCGCTTTCTCTTCTCCCGGTGTCTCTCCTCCTCCTCTTTTTCCCCGGCGCTTTCTGCATCCCTTAAACGCTCATTCGACAAGCAACGCACACAGGCTCGTTCCTTTTCCTCTTCCGACTCTTTCCGCTCTTCGCAATTCAACTGGCCTCGCCTCGACTCGCACGTTTGCCGCGACGATAAATTTCATTCAACTAATCGCGCGGTGTTTCGCAACAGCGACTCCCTCCCCAAGGGCGAATAATAATTAATTCGCCGCCTTGCATTTGCCGTCCATCCTATCTAGTTTTCCGCCTAGCCTATCCGCGGAAAGTAACAATGAAAGCAATGGCGAAAACGCAGCACGGCGCGTTATATTACGCGCTCGAATTTACGTCGCTAATTCGGAGCTCAATAAACACTCATTCAATTGTATTATCGAAGTCCTCTTTTATCAAATGAGAGAGATCTACGTTATGAGAAAAATTAATCAACCTACCTACAGTCGGATTGATAATTTAGATCCTGCTTGATAATATTCGCCTTTTATTTACGATGATGTAATTAATAAACACATCGCTGCGAGACTCATTTGGTCGGCGTCGCAGAAATGAAAAGCCATACATCAAACCCGTAGCGCCCATGTGAAGACGTAAACGTCAACGCCTGTCACGGGCAAAAATGCTGAGTGCACGAGATGTACGGCGACAAAACGAAATATGTACAGTATGCACGCACGATGCGCATACAGCTGCGCGGCGTGTAGAACGAACGGTTTCTCAGTGTGCAGAAGCAGGTGCCCGGGGATAGCCACCACGTGTGGCAGGATCGTTAATCGACGTTAACCGATGAAAGAAAGAAATCGCCTCCCCGTTTATTCATATACACCCCGTTCAATTTACACCGTCGATCCCCCTCGCCCTCGTTCTCATTCCCCCCCTCCCTCTCTACCCCCCGATCTCGCCACCCTTGACGAGCGATGAAGCTGCGAAGCGTATCGCACACAGCACGAAGGCAAGAAGAAACGAACGGATGGACGGACAGCATTTCTCAAGGGCCATTTTGTACCACTTTCTCGTGTTTTTCTTTGGCTACACGAGCGATGAGCTCGTTAGGGGCAGCCGGAGGGAGAGGACGAGGTAGAAGGCAAGGGAGGAGGGGACGATGGAGCATAGAGGCTGAGAGGGTTCAAGCGAGGTATATTGATTGATCTACAGTTAAGCGGACTGACGGCGGCCACGTGAGGAGATCAGGGAGAAGGCAGATCTCTCTTTCTATCGCCGTCTCGCTCTTGCATTCGCTCGCTCGCTCCCTACGTGCCGGCCAATGTGTACCTCCACTACCGTGGTAAAATAAAGACGGGGCAACGGAATTTGCTCTCGATGATGCATGCGCCGCGGCCCCGCCCTCTCCTTCTCTCATCCACTGACGGCCGGTGAATAATAATTCTTGATACGACCGCCGGTTGATCGGACGACTTTCGTCCCGGGCGAGCGCGGGGAGAGCCAACTTTGTCGATGATCGATGTACGCGCGCTTAGTAACGCTAACGGACCCGAAGGTGCCGTGATTATAGCGCGACCGAGCTGCATACAGGGTGTCCGGCGCAACAGAGCGACATTCCTTGAAAATTTTAAATTCGTTCTCTCTTAAGAGATTATCAAGCCTGTCAATTCGCTCGCCGCGAAGCTGCGCGTGCAACAAGACGCTTTCGACTTTACTTTGATGGCTGCGAGCTGCGCAATAAATGATGGTTCCCGGTAACTTCGCTAATGAAAACTATCGGCTTTCAACTCATCGAAAAATACATCATTAAACATTAATATGTCGAAGAAAGAGCATAGTAAATATGACACGAATCGATTGCAAATTTTGAGTACAAAAGTCGCCGAGCTAATTTTTAACTATCTTTGTTCTAGCCTCTCTCTTAATCGGCGCGCGATGAACTTTACGACCTCGAGACGCAAAGCGCGATAAAGGAAGAGAAAAGAGAGAAGCGTTTTCTCGCGCACTCATCGTGGCACACGTCGCTAACTTTATGAGCAACGATTATCGATGCGCGACTTTTCCCGCCGCGTCCGAGATTGAGATAGTCCGCTTTCTTCCGGCCGATAAAAAGTGCTGATAGCTTTGCTATAACGTTGGCGATTGTTTCTCTTTCAACTCACTCGCATAATTATGCATATGTACAGTTAGTGAGAGGCAATGAAATCGAAAGCGGCTGTTTCCAAACCCAACTCTAGATTCAAATCAACGATTATAGATATTTTTGAACTTTTTTCATTGATAAATCAGAAATAAATATCAGAATAAATGTTTCTGACGCTGAAAATTATAAAAAACAAAAAATTTTTTGACGATATATATAACATCGCGATATTTTTTTTAAGTATATGTCTCACGCTGCCTTGAAACGAATAATAATAATGTAGAATTTCCATACAGCTCGCCCAGTCTCATTTGGAGGGGAAAAGAAGAACGTCGGCGAACACAGCTTGGACCTGCACATTTACCAACTTATTATCTTAATTACATAATTGGCTGTGGGTTCGTATACTTTGAAAAACCTCGAGCGGGCGATATACACGTCGCGTCGCATCCGCCCCCGCGAATGTGCACAAGGGGTCAGCTTCCGGCCATAAACCTTTTTAAGGGTGCGTCTCGAACGAAACGGAAGCGGGTGCAGCCTTACGTAATGCGCTCCGACTTTCTTTCCTCAAGGCCGAGATCGAGATACTGGAAAATAGTATGGGCACTGAAAAACGGCCATGAAAAAATGACATCTTTGTGCAAGGGCACTTTCGTTACGCTTAATGCGAAATTATTGGGTTGGATGCTAGGAATGCGATTGAGACAATATTTCTTTGAGAATTTCGATGTAACTCAGTGTTCGACTATCCATTGAAATGTAAAATAATAAAAATTAAGCAGCTATCAATGTTGTATATCAACTTAATTTACCTCGCAACCCAAGTGAATAAAAACTTTTATCGTTGGCCCGAGAGTTATAAAAATGATATAAAAAAGAAAAATATGTAGCAATATACATTGAAGCAACATAAACACAAGAGGTTGTACCGCGGACAGAACGGTTAATTTATAGACTAATCTATGTCCATTGGGTTCTTTTGAAGCGGTCGGATTATTATTAAATCATTCCTGGACAGACTAATTTGTTCGACCGTGCGAATCCTGCGGCAGGTTCGCTTGAATTACGACAAACAAGGTAAAAATTTTATCGCCCGACTCCGACGGCCGCATTTGCCCATTCGAAATATTCGAGAGATCGTTAAAGCGCGAATGTAATGTAATGCAATTCCAGATGACAAGAAGCTTCAGTTTGTGGAGATCTTTCAGGTGTAAAATGTTTCGTGCGCTTACCTGATAAAAATGTGTTAATATTGACATAAAAACGTGTAAGTTTTGTTATTAGTTAAGTAAAATTATGAAAAGAAAAGTCCATAAAACACCGATTAACTGCTCTCGCTATCTTCCGCTTAAATCGAAAATGTCAAAGATTTCAGAACACGATTTCTCTCACTCAGCCTCAGCGTTTTCCTCAAGCGAACAAGTCATTATAAACAATTATCCGATTGATCTCTATGAAGGAAACGTTCTCGTAGAAACGGTCAGCAGCGGAACACGCTTTTCTTCACAAGCAGCGAGACACTCGTGAACTGGCGATGAATAGATAGCTTCAACAAAACCGTTCATCACGAAATCGTTTCTTAATCAGCGATAAGCGCGGAGAAGGTATCCGGTGGACGCTGGAAACGGCGAACTTTTAAATGGGGAATATCAAGATCGTGGTGGGTTATACGAGCGGCCATAATAGCTACCACCATTACCCGCTTCCAGGACATTAAAGATAGCGGAGGCAATTATAATCATTATGACGTCGAGCGGCGCGTACAATGCCGCTTGTGCGTTACGCTCCTATAAAATCTCCGTAACGTCCTGAACAGCGAGCGCGGCCCTAAGTGAGAAGCCCGGCCTTCTTTCCCCTCTCGCTACGCCCAGCAAACTCCACCCGCGAGCCGGTTATCGTGCCGCATCTCGAATCGCCACGCTCGAAGACGCGACTTGACGCGCAGCACCTGCTTGGTCTTTGGAAAAAAGGATTCCCTGAGACTCCTGCGAAGTGCGACGACAGAGACGTCAAGAAGTCGCGTAAAAATGACGCGAGCTATTTGCGAAAATTAATGAAAAAAAGAGTTGTCAAGCACTTGGCAAACCGCGTGAAATAAAAAAAAAACGGATCCGCATTTTTCGCCAATATCATGCGAATCAACGAAATATTGTCTTTTATCCATTTTTGCTCGCATTTTGACTTACGTCGCACCGAAATATATGGCGCGAACGTAGTAAAAATAATAAATAGAGGTCGAAAATTGCAGT